CTCCGCCGGGGGCGGGGGGGCGCCTTGGGGCCCGGCGCCCGCTGCGGGCGCCGTGCTCCTCCTTCCGCTGCCCGGCGCGGGAGCCCCGGCCGCCGGGAACGCTGGGGTGGCCTTGAGTGGCACAGCTGAGCCCCCCGCGCCCTGGGCTGGCGCACCACCCCCTGCGGTCGCCCCGCGACCTCCCTCCTTCGGGGGTGGGGGTCCCGCCGGTGGGGGGACGCCCCCGGGCCCACTGGGCGCCCCTCTCCCCGGAGCACTCGTTGCCGGGCCTCCCTCCCCCTTCCCTCCCCCGCCGGGGGCCAGGGATGGTGGGGGAGGACTGTGGCGCGCGCTGCAGCCTGGCACCGTCGTGCGCGCATCCGCTTCCGGGGGTCCCTCTTCGCGCGGCGGCGGCGCGGGGAGGTAGATCCGCGCGATGTGGGCGTAGGGCTTGACGTCCAGGTCGTAGTAGTCGGGGCTGTCGCTCCGCGCTCCCTGCACGACCCCGTTTACGTAGTTGCCGTAGGTCAAGCTGTGGTAGATCACCTGCGCGCCTGGCAGCAGGTCGATCTGGCGGGCCCTCGGTCCCAGCCCCCTCCTGTTCTCCCCCTCCCGGGCGGGTGCGGGTCTCTCCGGAGGCCTCGGCTTCGGGTTCCCGCCTTTGGGCGGGGGGGCTGGGCGTCCTGGGCGGCCATCCCCTAGGGCCGCTTCCCAGCCTTTCGCTGGCTCCTCGGTCAGGCGCGCCCTTGCCAGGCCTCCTCCCTCGAGGGGGGCCGTCCGTGCTGGACCTCGCCCCGGAAGAGGCTCCCCCCGGGGGTCGGTGGCGCTCGGGCGGGGGCTCCTGGGCCTGGCCCTCCCCGCTCCGCCCGGGGTCCGCGGCCCCTCCCCCGGAGGTTTGGGGGCCCCCCCACGCGGTGGGCTCCCTCCGGGGGGGGGCGACACGCGCCAAGTAATCATTATAGGCCGCCTGGTGGATCTCCTCTCCCACCTCCTCCCGCTTCCGGTTGATTAGGCCCGTGTAGTACTTGGCGAAGTTTTCGTGCCGGGTCATCCCGGGGTCGGAGGGGTGCCAGTCGCGCAGGACCCTCCGGGCCACCTCCGCGGGCTGCTGGTACAGGTACTGCCTCGCCCTGAAGTCCGGGGGGTAGTCCGCGAGGTGGTCCCGCACCTGGGTGTGGAGATCCTCCCACCCCTCGTTGTCCAGCTGGTCAGCCAGGGGCCTGTAATCCTCCACCTGAGACAGGAAGGCGCGGGCGACGTCCAAGGCTCGGTCGGGGTCGAAGTCGCTGCTCCCGCACCGCCGCGCGAAGTCGTGCCAGAACTTGGAGTGCCACTCCCCGCCCCTCTGGGAGTTGCGGATCGCCCCCCCCTCCGTCGTCCTGGCATGGGACCTCTCCGCCCCCCGGACGACCAGGGTCGGCCCCCCGCGGATGCGGGTCCGGGGGTCGCCGATCCCATCCTCCACGTCCGCATCAGGGGGCGGTCCCTCATCCTGCAGGATCAGCCTGAGCAGGAGGGCGGCCGCCCCCGGTCGGCCCATAGCCACCAGGTCCCTATGCATCTGCGCCACGGCCTCCTGATGCAGGGGGTTCATAGCGCGCGCGTGAGGGGCCCCCACCACCTCGGTCGCGCCCGCGGGGGCGCCCCCCCTCCCCGAGGGGGCTCCGCCCGCGTGGAAGGGGTAGAGGGTCAGGCTCTCCGTGGTCGGGTCCCGCCAGGCCTCCCACTGTGCGGGGCGAGCAGGCAGGCCCCCCGAGGGGGCAGGCAGGGTCGTCGTGTAGCAGACGTGGCCCGACGCGTTCTGGACGATCGGCAGCCCCCGGGCGCCAAGCTCCCAGAGGTCAATAACTCCCTGCGAATGGAGAATGTCCATCCCGAGGTACCGCTGGTCTGGGACCCCCAGGGTCAGGTCCATGTCCCGGAGGTCGGCGCCAATCAGCTCCGCCGAACGGATGGTGTACTCCCTCCCGTTCGCCGCCAGGCGGAAGTTCCAGACCCGGCGTGCTTGGGCGCTGCCCTGCCCAAATCCCGGGAACAGGTGGGGCTCCTCGTCTTCCCGGAGGCCTCTTACGAAGTCGAGTCCGAGGGTGCGGGCGACCTGCAGGTACTTGACCTGGAAGTCGGACCCATGGAACGTCATGCCTCCGTTGGCGGTGTCGACCGCGACCAAGAGTCGCGGGTTGACGTTCGGCTCCAGGCGGGGCGCGCGGGGCACCTCGGAGGCTCCCTCCACCGTCCATCCTGCGGCCTCCTGCCCGGCCGGGATGAAGTCCGCCGGGTCGTCCTCCGTCTCCTCCCCCCCTGGGGTCTGAGGGGCTGGCTCCCCTTCCAAAGGGGTTCCCCGAGGCAGACTCCTCCCGCAGCCAACCCCGGAACTTGTGCAGCGCGTGGAGACGGGGCTCCTGCCGGCGGCGGCGGAGCTGGCGGCACCGCTCGGGGTACTCCCGGAGGAGGGTGAGGAAGGTCTTGCCGCCCCAGTCTAGGTGGCCGGGAACGCCTTCGGGGACGCGCAGGGTGGCGCGGTCGAGGTGTGCGACCGCTCGGCGGTCCCGCGGGCATTCGTCCTCCTCCCGGGGCCCCGCGGGCCAGAGCCCTCCGAGGAAGGCGGATACCCGCTGCGTGAGTGCGCCGGCTCCCGCGCGCTCCCTCGTCTGGACTGGCCGCCTCGGGTCGCGAGGGTTGGCGACCAAGGCGGGGTCTCGGTCCTCCCCGACCACCAGCCGGACGAGGCGGCTGTCTGGGGGCGGGGGCAAGGGGTCCTCCGTAAGTCCCGTCTTCCACGGATCTGGAAACTTGGCCCGCGCCCTGCGCCCCTCCATGGTGAAGATCAGGCGCGTCACCAGGAACCTCCAAATCTCCTCCGTCTGCTTCTTGGCTATCACCGGGTGCGCGCCTGCCCCCATCCTGCAGAGGTGGCAGCAAATGTAGGCCCAGACTGGGGAGGGTGATCCCCTCCCCCGGCTTTCCGAGGTGGCGCCCCGGCTCCGCTCCCGGGGCCGGGGTCGCCCCAGGCTTCCGCTCCTCCCCCGCTCTGGGGAGCCGTCCTTGGGCGGGCTGTCTTCCGGTTGGGCCGGCGCGGGGGGGCCCCACGGGTGGTGGTGGCGGTACTTGCAGTCCGACGTCTTGCAGGGGCGGCCTTTCCAGTAGTACCGGCACACCCCTGGGGGGGGCTGGGTGTTGTCGTAGTACTTCCAGCGCTTGCGCGACGTGGACCCGCTCCCCTTCCCCAAGCGAGACTTCCCTCGGGACTTCCCTCGGCCGCCATGTGGCTCTTTCCCCCGCCCACGCCCCTTTCCTCCTTTCGGGGGTGTGCCGGGCCTCTTCCCCTTCCCGGTGGGGCGGCCCTGTGGGGGTGAAGTCCCACGTCGGAGACCCAGGACGAAGTCCTGCAGGGTGAGGGTCGTCTGGGGTTCGGTCACGCGGTCCCCCTCGGGGTTCCGCTCGATGTACCTGGCCCACGCTTCCGCTCCCCTTTTGGTCCGCCGTATCCGCTCCACCTCGGCCAGGAGCCATTCCCTCTTGTGGCAGGGCTCGCCGCAGCCACCGCAGCTATCCCTCCTCCCCGGGGGGTTGGGGCCGCTCTGGCACTGCGGGCACCACCACGCCCTTACCTTGGTCAGGAAGTGCGCGGAGCAGTTCTCGCAGCGACTCCGACAGTCCCCCGCCTTCTTCCTGCAGCCGAGGCATAGCCAGAGGCCACCCGGCTGGGCAGGAGGGCGGGGCTCACGCGGCTCTGCCGTGGGAGGCTCGGCCCTTCTGGGGCTGCGGGACCTATGGGGCGGCGAATCCCGCGTGCGGAGCCCAGGCTCCTCCCCCCCGGTCCGCTTCCACGGGGGGCTGGGGCTCCTCTTGCGGGGGCCAAGCGAGACTTCCTGCCGGACGGAGCCCCTGGGGGTGGACACGCGCCGCGCGCCCGCGCGGTCCGGTGCCGGCGGCGGGCGGGGTCCAACTTTGCTCCCCGACCCTCCTCGCCGGCGCAGGGGGCGCTCGCGAGGGGCACGACTCTCCACCCTTCCCCTTCGGTCTGGTCCCTCTGGGTATGCCCGCCGCCCCGCGCTCCGGGGGCGCGTGTGCTCTTCCGGTCGAGGGCCCCGTGAGGCGCGCGCTCGTCGGCCCGGGTCGCGGCGGGGGCTGACGGGCGAGCGACGGCGGGACCCCTTGATCCGCCGTGGGGACTCGGAGGCCCCAGCGTTCCTCCGGCTCGGGCGGCTGTCCCGGGGGGCCCTGCTCCCTCCCCTCCCGCCGCTCGCGCTTTCCACTCTGCGAGCCTCGGCGGTGTCCTCATTTCCCCTGCTTCTCCGGCGCTCCGCGGGGGGGCGTGGGTCGAGGCTATCGGCGACTGGTTTCCCATCCCCAGCCTGCCTGCTCCGGCCACCGGCGGCCTTTTCGCGCTCGCTCTCCGACGATCCGCCCTGTGGGGACATCTCTTCTTCCTCCTCACACTTGGCCCCCCCCTTCTCTCCCTTCGGCCTCTTTCCGAAAGTGGGGGCCCCTTTGGTCGTTATTCCTCCATTCTCGAAGGTGGAGTCCGGCGGAGGGTAGACCTTGCCCCTCTTTATCTCACTCAGGAACGTGTCGATCAGCCGCTGGGGGTGCTTCCGCCTGTTCCTCCACTCCGCATCCTCCCACCCCGCTCCGACGCTCCGAGCGTAGCGCTACCGTTGGGTGCGGATCTGGGCGCCGTGCTTCTCGTCCTTCCCCAGGAGGTCCAGCATGTCCTGGCCCCGTGCCTCCTCCAGCGCCTGTGTGGCTCGGTTGAACGCGTCCAGGTGCGCCGGGGGCCCCCTCCCCTCGGTCTCCCTCCGCGGTGGCGGGTCTGGTCCCTTCCCCCTGGTCTCGCCGCTCAGGGCGTCCGTGGCGGCTCCGGGCGATGCCCCGCCGATGCCGCCTTCTTCCCTCTGGAGTAGAGGGTCCGAAGGCCCTTCACCCCCCCCTGCGGGTTTGGGTGGGAGGGGAATTTCGCCGACGGCATCTGGGGCCGGGGGCGCCTCTAGAGCTTGGCGCGGGCGTGGCCACACGTCCCGGTAGCGGATCCAGGAAGGCCTCCGGCGTGGGCCCCAGTGCGAGGGCGTGCCCCTGGTTGAGGAACAGCCAGGCGTCGGGGGAGTCGCCGCTCGCGCGGCTGGGGATCCGCGTCTCGCGGAGGTAGGTGTCCTGGAGCGTGCGCACGTGGAGGTCGACGCTGGTGAGGGCGGGGCCTCCCAGTAAGGGGAACTCTCGGTAGTCTCTTCCCGAGTGCGGGACGGCGGCTCCCGCTCGGAGTGCGTCGTCCAGGGGCGAACTGGAGGCCGGCGGCGCATCGCCAGCCGCCTCCAGCAGCTCCGCCCGGTAGCGGGTGGCCAGGGCGTGCACCTCCTCCTGATGAGGGGGGGTGCCGTGCTGCCGCCACAGCGAGGAGGCGGCGGTGCTCAGGAGCATGCACTGCCCTCCCTCCGGTTCGCCTTCCTGCAGCCCCAGCTTCTCCCGCATGAGATGGGCATGGGGCCCCGTGGGGTGGAGGTACTGGCCGAAGTCGAGCGTGTCCCAAACCGTGCGGCGCGGGCAGGTAATGCACGCCAGCACCCCCGGGGCGGGCGCCTGTGTGGCGCTCTGCTCGGGCTCCCCCCTCCCCGTGGTGGGGGGGTCCCCCGGGGGTGTCTCCGTGCCCCGGTTGGCGCTCTGCCCTCCGCGGGTCTTCGGGCGGGGCTTCGGTCCCTTCCGGAGTGCAGCCATGCGGGCGTCCGCCGCTGCGGGCGTCACGAGGGGGAGCTTGTGGAACCCTCCGAAGCGGAAGAAGAGCAACCTGGTCTCCATGGGGAGGCCCTTCAGATCATTGATCTTCTGGTGGGCGCCCCGGCAGCCGCTCCCCCGCCAGCGCGTGATGTGGCAATTGAAGGGGATGCAAATCCTCTTGCCCTGCGGGTTCTTAGGGGCACCCGCCAGGGCCGCCTTATGCTCCTCCGCCTCCAGGGCCGTGCCGATGGGGTACTGCGGGTTGTCGTCCTGGCCGGCGCGTCCCGCCGGGGGCGGGGGTGGCGCCATTGTTCTGCTCGTCCGCGAGAGGGCAGAAAGGGCGGACCGTTGCTCCCAAGACTTCCGGGACACCACCCGGGCTCGAAAGAACCCGTTGGGGTGGTCCAGCTGGAAGGAGAGGGGCATCTGGAATCGCGGCTGCCGGCCCCTCCAAGAGGTGGAGCCTGAACTCCTCCTCGGTGGGGTTCTGGTTTCTGAGGTCGTGGAGGGCCCGCTGGACGATCAGTCGGATGCCGTCCCACCAGTCCCAGTGGAGCTCCTCCCAGATCGCGAAGAGGTCCCCCTCCGTCCACTGGTTGGGGTCATCGAGGTTGAGCTGCACCAGCCTCCTCAAGGCGTCCCGTCTCTCCTTCTCATGGTCTTGGCCGTAGAACAGGCAGAAAGTGGTGATGCTCCGGTGGGCCTGGTCGGTCCAGACGGCGAGGATCTTGGTCCAGGCGGGACGCTTCTCCATGTAGGTGGGGTCCGAATGTGGGATGAACCGTTCGAACTCCTCCCGAGTGGTCCGCGGGAAGTCCGATGCTCCCAGGGACCACTTGGCCATCCGTTCCAGGTCGCGGCCCCCCCAGAAGCCCCCCGCGATGGCGTAGGCAATCCGGTTCACGACCAGGGCGGGGCAGCCTCCCTCGTGCATGATCATCCAGCGTCCGTCTCCTCCCCTCCGGGCTGCGTCGTATAGCTCCCTTCCGACGAGGCCCGGGCAAAGGGCGACGTAGAAGGCGTTGAACCCCCGGGCGGTGTAGACCGCCAGCCGGCACTCCGTCTTCTTGAGGTAGCCCAGGGAGCCCTCCACGTTCTTGGAGTCGTCGGCCTCCATGCGCTGGGAGATCTCGAGGTTGAGGTGCTGAACCAAGAGGCGGGTGTTCGGGTCAGTGAAAATCCCCGCCTGCCCTTCCCCCCCTGCCCCGGCGCGTCCTGTGGCGCCCCTTGGTGGGGCGATCCCATGAATGGCATCCCACTGCGCAGCGGGCGGGAGGGGGTTCGAGCCGCCGGACGGCGCGGGGCGCGTGTCACGGTATTCCCCCTCGGGGAGACTGGTGAAGATCCCCTCCATGACGCCCGGAGGTTGGAGGGCCTGCGCCGGTGAGGGCGGGGGGGTCCCCCTGCTGGGGTAGGCCCCTCCTGCCCCTTCTGGAGCAGGCGCCTCTCGCGGACGTACCGCAAGAGCTTGCCGAGGGCGGCCTGCTCCTCCCGCTCCAGCGAGGCGGGGTTGCGGAGGGCGGTCGCCTCCAACTCCTCCGCGCACGGAGTGACCAACGCCAGGCAGGTGTCCGGGTCCTCGCCGTAGTAGTCCTGGGCCGCCTCAAGTGCGGCCTCCACTCCAACGCCGTCCTGGATGGCGGAGAGGAGGGCCTCGAGGAGCCAGACCACCGCCGAGAGCTCCCCCGACGGGTCGCGGGAGGCGCCCGTGGAGGGGGTCCCCCCCTCCCGCGCCAGAGGGCGTGGTGAGCTTTCCCGGCGGGTGTTCCTCCCCCGTGGGGGGTACTCTTCCCCGCCCGAGGATTGGCCGGGCTCCTCGTCCATCCGCCGGGCACTCCGATGGCGCCATCGTTCCAGCTCCCGGGAGTTCAGCAGCAATACTACCTCCTGGACCCCGCCTGCCCCTCCGGAGGGGGTCTTCCCTTCCTCTGTCAGGGCGCTCCATTCCGATTTAGTCGCTTCGACGAACCAGGCAGGGATCCCTCCCGGAGGGGGAAGGGGGGCTTGTCCCGGGCGACGGATCTGACCGATCGGGGCGGAGTAGCGAAGACCGAGGGCGGCGAGGTGGACCACCGCCTCACCCGGAGGGTGGCCTGCTGGCGGCTCCTCCCCTTCCCCCCGGAAGACAAGATAGTGCTCGGCCGGGGGCTGTTTCCCACACCCCCGAAGGGCGTCCTCCTCGCGGCCCGGCCGCCCCCGGTGGGGGCCGGCGGACTGCGCCGCGTGGGAGGCGCAGAGGAGCCTCCCCTCCACCTGCAGGGTCCCGATCTCGTCGCACGAGGGGGGGCCCGCGAAGGCGCAGAGGAGGTGCTGGCGGGCAAGCCGGTACATGCGCTTGTGCCGAGCGCATAGGGGGGCCAGGACGCGCCCGCCCAGTCGCTCCCATCCGGCAATGTCCGACTGGGGCTCGTCCTCGACCAGAAGGAGGGTGAACCCTTCGTCCGGGGGCTCCGGGCACGGGGCGCGGAGGCCGAGGGTGCCCAGGGTGCTTCCGGGTTGGCGCCGGCCCAAGCGGCCCCCACCGCACGTCCCGATGGTGGGCCCCTCGCTCTCCGACTCGAGCTGGCGATCCCGGGGCCTCCCCGCTCCGGCTGCCGTCCTCCTTTCGCGACAGCGCCACGCCCCCAGTAGGTCTATCCCGATGGCTCGGGGCAGGGGGCGGAGAAGTCGGTGGGCGCCACCAAGGGTGCGGCCGGTGAGGCAGGCGAGGCCCAGGAGGAAGCATTGATAGGGAAGAGCCTTCTCCAGGTTCAGGACGAGCCCCTCCTCGACGCCGGTGTAGTGGTAGCTGACCGCCACAATGTCTGGGGGGATCACCGCTTCCCACTCCCGCGCCAGGTAGACGGCGCGCCCCCGAGCGTTCTCCAGCCGCTGACGGAGGGAGGGGTCCGCGCAGTGCAGCGCGGCACCGTAAAGGTATACCTGCCCTCCCTTCCGCGTCGCGGGCAGCGTGGAGCCCGGTTTTCGCTGCATCCGGACCATTCCCTCCTCGATGATGGCGAGCAGCTCATGCGGGCGGCGGCTGGAATGCCTCCCGCGGGCCCGGATCCAGTCCTGGAAGAACTTGTTGGGCGTGGTCCCGCCCGAGGCGGGCCCTCCCCACGCCAGCCTCGAGTCCTTCAAGGGGTGCGGGTGTTCGCTCCTGCGCAGAGGGCCCTTGCCCCGTAAGAGTAGGGCCAGGGCATAGGCCAGGAGGGTGAGGAGGTCCAAGGCCACCAGGGCGGAGAGGAGGTAGAAGAAGACCAGGAGGTACTGCAGCCAGTGGGGAAACCCCTTCCAGCGGGCGCCCCCGAACATCATCAGCCCTAACCCTGCCCCTCCTTGCAAGAGGCCGTCCAGGAGGTGGTTCGGCCATCCCGGGAACGGGTCCTCTCCGGGGGGTTCACCGGGTGCCCCGGTGTGCCGGCGCCGGCCGTGCGCCTCCGGGGCTCGGCGGGGCGCCCAGGCGGAGAGGTATGCGTCCAGCTGGGAGAGGGTCTGCCGGATACTCCAGGAATGATCATCTGGAGCCCTCCCCTCCGCCAGCTGGGAGAGGGTCCGCCGGACACTCCAGGAATGATCATCTGGAGTCCTCCCCTCTGTCCGATTGCTCCCCTCCTCCCCTCCTCCAGCCGGGAACTCCGACGAGGAAGGCGCGGGGGGAAAGTCTTCCACGGGCGAGGCCGCGGGGATGTGCCCAGCAGGGGGAGGCACGATGTAGCCCACAGGCTCCATGCAGACATCCTCCTCTACCTGCTCTGGGGCGGGGTCGGTGCCGTCGGCGGGGACGAAGTCCACGGTCCCCACCATCCCGACGGCAGCCCCAATGGCCGCTCCAGCCACGGGAGCCGTGCGCCCTCCCGGAGGCAGGGCACCCAGCTCGGCCGCGGCGAGCAATAGCAAACAGGCGGGGTGGGATCCTCCCCACCCCTTCATGATGAGATTAGGGGCCAGGGGCCCCTCCCGTAAAAAGCACAGCTCTAAGCACAAAAGGCTGCGGAAGAGGGGAAAGGAAGGAGGAGGAGGAAGCCAGAGCACTACGGCCTAGGGGGGAATATAACCGTTTAGGCTTTGGCCAAACGAAACCAATGGTGCACGGATGCCCTGCCCGCTCTGGTGGGGCCTCCCTGGAGGGGTGGGAGGGGCACGACACCTGATAAATAACATGGTGTGCGAATACCCTGCCCGCTCTGGTGGGGCCTCCCTGGAGGGGCGGGAACAGTACGAAACCTAATAATAAAATATGGCGTGCGAATGCCCTGCCCGCTCTGGCGGGGCCTCCCTGGAGTGGTGGGAGGGGCACGAAACCTAATACATAGCATGGTGTGCGAATGCCCTGCCCGCTTTGGTGGGGCCTCCCTGGAGGGGTGGGAGGGGCATGAAACCTGATAAATCATATGGTGTGCGAATACCCTGCCCGCTCTGGCGGGGCCTCCCTGGAATGTTGGGAGGGGCGCGAAACCTGATAAATAACATGGTGTGCGGATACCCTGCCCGCTCTGGTGGGGCCTCCCTGGAGGGGTGGAGGGGCACGACACCTGATAAATAATATGGTGTGCGAATGCCCTGCCCGCTCTGGTGGGGCCTCCCTGGTGGGGTGGGAGGGGCACGAAACCAGATAAATAACATGGTGTGCGAATACCCTGCTCGCTCAGGCGGGGCCTCCCTGGAGGGGTGGGAGGGGCACGAAACCTAATAAATAACATGGTGTGCGAATACCTTGCTTGCTCAGGCTGGGCATCCCTGGAGGGGTGGGAGAGGCACGAAAACTTATACATAACATGGTGTGCGAATACCCTGCTCGCTCAGGCGGGGCCTCCCTGGAGGGGTGGGATGGGCAGGATACCTGATAAATAACATGGTGTGCGAACACCCTTCCCGCTCTGGTGGGGCCTCCCTGGAGGGGTGGGAGGGGCACGCAACCTGATAAATAGCATGGTGTGCGAATACCCTGCTCGCTCAGGCGGGGCCTCCCTGGAGGGATGGGTGGGGCACGAAACCTGATAAATATCATGGTGTGCGAATACCCTGCTCGCTCAGGCGGGGCCTCCCTGGAGGGGTGGGAGGGGCACGAAACCTGATAAATACCATGGTGTGCGAATACCCTGCTCGCTCAGGCGGGGCCCCTCTGGAGGGGTGGGAGGGGCACGAAACCTGATACATAACATTGTGTGCGGATACCCTGCCCGCTCAGGCGGGTCCTCCCTGGAGGGGTGGGAGGGGCGCGAAACATCATACATAACATGGTGTGCGAATGCCCTGCTCGCTCAGGCGGGGCCTCTCTGGAGGGGTGGGAGGGGCACGAAACCTTATAAATAACATGGTGTGCGAATACCCTGCCCGCTCAGGCGGGTCCTCCCTGGAGGGGCGGGAAGGGCACGACACCTGATAAAGAACATGGTGTGCGAATACCCTGCTCGCTCAGGCGGGGCCTCCCTGGAGGGGTGGGAGGGGCACGCAACCTGATACATAACATGGTGTGCGAATGCCCTGCTCGCTCAGGCGGGGCCTCCCTGGATGGGGCGGGAGGGGCACGACACCTGATACATAACATGGTGTGCGAATGCCCTGCTCGCTCAGGCGGGGCCTCCCTGGAGAGGTGGGAGGGGCACGAAACCTGATAAATAACATGGTGTGCGGATACCCTGCTCGCTCAGGCGGGGCCTCCCTGGAGGGGTGGGAGGGGCGCGAAACCTGATACATAGCATGGTGTGCGAATACCCTGCTCGCTGAGGCGGGGCCTCCCTGGAGGGGTGGTAGGGGCACGAAACCTGATAAAGAACATGGTGTGAGGAAAGGCATGGTATGGTATGGGATGGTGGAAGCATGTTATGGTATGGTAAGGTATTGGTGAGGTATGGTATGGAGTGGCATGGTATTGGTATGTTATGATGTAGTATGGGATGGTGGAGGAAGCGGGAAGAGGAGAAGGAGGAGGAGGAGGAGGAGGAGGAGGAGGAGGAGGAGGAGGAGGAGGAGGAG